AGTCGGTAGGGCCGGGAAGGGAGCCCCAGAGTTGGCTCGCGGTCCGGGGTTGCCGCCGCGGGGAGGCCGCGGGGGTCCCGAACTTGGCGCCTCCCGACGGTCATTCATTGCACGAGAGTGCAGCCTTGCTTTTTCCTGGCCGAGATATTTGAAATCTCCGCTCCCCACCCCAGCGTTTCCCGCCCCTTCCCAGCTCCCCGCGAATCTGACCAATCTTTGGGACTGAGAAGATCGAGAGGTTTCCCCCATCCGACCCGCCAGACCCCGCAGACCGCTCTTTTCTCTGCGAGATCGAGTTTCCGGTCCTCGTCCTCTCGCTTAGCAGTTTGACCGAGGGTATGGGTTCCACTGGGTTTGGGGTCCTTTTTTCTATCTTGGTTACTTTTTATATTTTGTGATTCTGAAGTTAAGAGACCCATTTATAGTCCTTGGCGACAGTGGTGCACATTTCCGAGGGACATTTCACGTTTCTCCACCACCACCAAAGCCTTAAATTGTCCTAATCTTGGAGTGGTCTCCGCGCTCATTTCTGGAACCTGAATCCAGGGATAACAGTATCGTCTTTCCAGTGCCAGGCTCTGTGTGAAGCGCTTTGCTTTCATCACATTATTACTGTAATAGTAGCTAATGCTTCCACAGCGCCGATTGTGTGTAACGCGTTCTTTGAGTTTTCTTAGTTCTCAAAAATCTTTCGAGGTAGGGACTATTTTTAACTTTTGCAGAAGAAACTAAGACACAAGTGAAGTCACTGGACCAAGGTCATACAGTGACAGTCGAGTTTCAAACCCAGGTAGCCAAGACCTAGAACTTGCAACAATACACTGTCACTCTGTAGGACGGAATTTCGGTGTCCAGTAGCTAAGGAAAAGTTAAAGCAAAGCTTTAATTTCGGCTGCATAATAAGGTGTGGGGAGAGGGTGGAGGCTCAGATTTTAAAGCGGGAGGCTGAAATGCACTACTGTCATATTCAAGAGCGTGTTTGTTAGTGCTACCCTCTTTTCCGAGATTTTGGAAGAATTCACTCATTTCGTTCTTGATCTGGGCACTTGAAAATGTAAAATGCCTAAGTTGTAACTTTTGCCTAAAATATTGTTGGGATAGAAATATTGTGAATAGAGTTGAGACTAGGAACAGTGAAGAGTTCTGATGGTAGAGCTTTTGAAGTAAGCCGTTTAAACACCTTTTCTTAATCTCTGCGTAGTATTTTCCTTTCATGCTTTAGGAAGGAACCCACTAATATTACTAACGACCTCAGAAATGCTGTTGAAATGTTGCTTTCATTTATAGCTGAAAACCTTGTTCATTGCCTGGCGTTTATATAAGGACCATGTATTCCATACAAGTTAATACAGTTGCTTAATTTATATGAGGTAGCAGTTGGTTGGAAACAGATTAAAGTAATTTGCTATAAGAAATCCCACCCCCTTCTAGCCATGCTATGTAGTTTAGGCTGGCCTTGAACTTGGGTTGAGTTTTCTAAGTCTGGTTGACACAAGTTCTGGTTTGACCTCTTTACTAAGTAGTTTCTATTCACATAACAGATTGTGTAAATCTTTAAAATTGTGCTGAAAGTTTTACCTGGTATATTTGACTTATCTATTTTTTCCCTTTATTTAAAATTTTTATTTGTGATACTGGGGATTGAACCCAGGGCCTTGTGTATGCTTGGTAAGTGCTCTGCTACCAAGCTACATCCCAACCATTTTTAAACTTTGTTTTGTAACAGGTCTCAGAGTTACCCATGCTAGCCTCAATTTGAAATCCTCTTGCCTCAGCCTCCAGGTAGCTGGGACTACAGGTGTGTGCCACTGCCCTTGGCCTCATCTATTGTTCATTAATAGTTAATGTTTAACTGTTGTACTTGAAAAGCAGGTTTTTAAAATATATCGTTTTTTGTTGAAATTAATATGAAATGCAATTAAATGCCTTGGGAATGGGCTAGCTACGTGGTATTAGGTACTTTTTTATGGATGTTAAATTGGCAGATAATCAGTTGAAGATGATTTGTTGAGATAGATAGATAGATAGATATAATTAAGGGTATTGATAGTAAATTTTCTGCTTTTTGTAATGCCCCCCCAAACCTTTTTCCCAAAGAATTTTAAATCTGAAAAAGGAGGGTCTGTGACTTTTGTGACCTTGGTAGGCTTTTTTTTCTTTTTAAACATACTGGAAACTTATCTTGAGCTTGAGGACTGTATAAGTTAGTTGAGAAATGGCTCCGTGGTTGTAGTAAAGATTTCCAAAACTGAAGTCTGATTCAAGAAAAAAATATGTTGGTTTATATCTTAACTGCTTTAGCTTGTAACATTGCTGTTCTCTAAGCTCAGTAGCTTTTCAGATAAGAGGTGTCAGGTCACCTGCAACCCACTGAGACAGCTTTTTTAAGAAGTGTTCTTGATAAAACCTTAGTATAGCTGGTGTTAGTTAGCTATTTGGATAGATGCAAAATACAACTTGGGAGATTTAGGGGGAACACAAACTAGCCATTGAATAGTCCTCTGAATGTGTTGGAGAAAAGTGAGACTTGGGCAGAGTTCACTGTAAATCTCTCAAGGATGAGTGGTGGCTGGAGTTTTTCTTGCATAGCAGGTGGTTATAATTTATTTTACATCCTGGTTTGCCAGAAGCATCTATGCACTAGAGAAGACTGCTCTCAAACTGCAAGACCAGGTAATGACCTGACCTTTGAGAATGGCTTAACTGTGATGATGCCCAGGTTCACTGAAAGTGTTCGCTGTTCAATCCTATTCAGAAAGGATGCTTCTGAAGCTAGTGTTCAGATAATTCTGAAATTGTTCAGCTTTTTAGTGTAATATGAATCCATTTATATCCTAGTGTTTCTAAGACAGGCAGCAGCCCCTGGTCTTAAAAATGATAAAGGAGAAGCATACTGGTTTTGTTTTTGTTTCTTTTGGGGGGGTATCAGGGATTGAACTTGGGTCCTTATGCTTGCAAGGCAGGCGGCAGAACCGCTGAACTAAATACCCAGCCCAGCATACTGGTTTTTAAGTTTTTAAAAAGCTGAGGAAAGAAAAAAGTAGTCTTTTCTAATGAACGTCTGCACCTAGTTTTAACATTGATATCCATGTTGTGTGTTTCTGGCTCACTGACTTAGGAGTTGCCCATTGTGAGCCTCTGCCGTCCAGCTTGTCCATTACAAACCCAAAGTGTCACCTACAAAGGCAGAAGACAGACTAACACTGGGCATGGTAGTGGACACCTGTGATTCCAGGAGGATTACTGGGAGTTTGAGGCCAGGCTGCACTGCACAGTGAAACCCTGTCTCAGAAAAAAGGCTAGGAAGGCTTTCTTGCAGTAATCTGTAGACCTTTTTTAAAACCACACCATCAAAAGGATTACTCTCCTTGTGTCAGCAGTACCCCTTATCAGGGTAAGGCAGCAGTAAAACCTCACAGGGTCAAGTATGTCTTTCTGTTGTGCTTGGGGACATCTCTGATGCCCTCCCTGGAGCCAAGACCCAGGCTGGCTTCTGGAATGGGAAGTGAAAGTGGGCTGGGCTGGCCATTAGCCCAGCAGCCCTCCGTGGTACAAGTTGGTGAGATTGGCATATGCCTTTGAAACTACAGTCCTTCGTGGTACAAGTTGGTGAGATTGGCATATGCCTTTGAAACTACAGTCCTTGTTTGACCTCGAGTGTTCTGCACAATTAAGTGCCTATCAGTCTACTCCAGTAGGTAAAGGTTACTGATCTTGAAGCAGAAAATGATTGCTGTTATATGCGCTTAACTGCATCTTTTATTTTACAGTTGGAGCTTCAGATGCTTGCATATCTGAAGCATGAAGAGCAGATTTATTTACTGGTCTTGATGGTTTATCTGAAATCTGCAATTTCATTAGACTAGGGTCTACTCATCCCTTGTCTAGAAAGGAGAGGGTGTCACTGATGTTAAGGCTCACGGGATATGAAAACTTTAATGTAGGGTCAGATGTATGGTGTAATCTATGATATTTATCAAAATGTGTTGTTCAACTGTAGAAATTTAAACATTTTTCAGTGAGCTGTCTTCATCTTAGGTGCAGAAGACCAAGATACTTCATTAAGAGCAGTGAAAAATGTTTTGCAGCTACCTCCCATGAGAAGTCGGTGTCACGTTTAAAGCCTGAAGTGTATATATAACACGAGCAGTTTACAGCAAGGTTGGGGAGGGCATGGTGTCGAAACAATTATGATGATCAGAAATGGAAGTCTTCCTTTCTACAGAGAAACCAAAGAAATTTTTATAACATTTTTGTGGTTTTGGGGGGTTTTTTGTTTTTGTTTTTGTTTTGTTTTGTTTTGTTGGTAGAAAATCACTATTTGTATGTAAAAGTTTAATGTTGGGAATATTTAGTGGGTTTTTTGTTGGAGGACTTTTTCTAAACCTCAGATACGAGGATAGTGATTCACTAAAGTGAATGTGATGTGACTTATTAAGGTTACTTTAATAGGATTAGCTTAAAACAGCAAACCTTGATTTATTTTTATACTGGTTGTGTCCTTAGATTTTTTTTAAACTATTTTAATTCAGCTGGGGCTTTCTGTATGTATGCTGTTCCTCTAAAATAACCTTTTAACAGGTAAGGTCTTTTATATGACAGGAATGCTTTTCCAGTCCTTATAATCTCAGAGTAGTCCTAATTTTCTTCTGTAGTTTCGTCTCTACTTTGCTTGTTCTTCACACAGTTGGTGCTCATGAGGAAAAAAGCTAATGTTGCAAACAATGGCAAGTAACTTTTTTTTCATAATTTCAAATATTTATCAGTTTGGGTTTTTAAAAGATTTTTAAATTAAAGATTTATAGTGAATGTTTGTGATACATACTGGATACATTCGTTGTGGTAACAATTCTTGATAAAATTGGACATTTTTATTCTATAACTGACGTTAGTGATTTACCAGATAGGTCAGATACTGTGCCTTTCTACAGCACAACTTTTGCTGCTAACATCATAGTGCATTGTGTGGTGTCATATGTCTACCAGCATTTTGGAGGCTGAGGCAGAGGGCTGCTGTGACATGGAGGCCAGTTGTCTGGGCTACATAGTTCAATTCCAGCTTATAGTGAAAAAATAGAGACATTTGAACTTTAAAAAAATATCAAGGGCATCCTTTAACCATTTGTATGGTTTGCCTAGTTGTCCTCATTGCATTACCTCTTTAAGAAGGTAAGATTCATGAGAAAAAGACGAATTTGTGCCCTTTTGTTCTGTTGCCTGGGTGTCCCTCAGCATCTTAACTGAGTGGCCTGCAGTATGTGCTTAGCAGTTATTTTGATGAATGTTTGAAGCATAGTAAGTAAGTATTGATTGTCTTAAAGAACATTCCATGAGTTCAGTATTATTTAATGCCTCCTGTTTGCAAGGATGCATTATGATTTTATATCCTATAGCAAACTTTTTTCTTGAGAATTGACCATATAGTATTAACTCTTGATTTGGAAGTTTATTACGTAGACTAAATGTTTGAATGGAAAGGTGCTGTGGTAGAAATACCATTAGATTTCCAGTCAAGGCCACCTTTATAAGCTCTGTGGCCTTGTCTGAGGCACTGAGCTTGCAGCCTCTACAGCGGGAGCTTGTGGCACCTGACTTTACAGCATTTTTCGGAGTATTAAATAGCTGTGTAAAGCTCCGTATGTAGCACCGTGCCCAGCCCAGTGAATGTTAGCTACAACATAGATGTTTCTGTTAGTTGGACTGGAAATAGCGATGTGTAACTTCTTATATTATTGACAGTTTTGACACCTTTTTGAGATACATTTGGACTGCCCAAACTCATTTTGAAATCTTTTTGAAATTTAAGAGTAACACTAAACTTTCATAGTTAGAAAATCATCCCAGTAACATCTGGTAGGAAACAGGCACTTTGCTTTATAATTTTATAAAACAGATTCGTTTGCAGAAACAGGTTTTTTTTTTCCTGGTCAGAAGTCTATAGTTGGGTTGGGGGATGTAGGTCAAAGCATTGTCTAAAGTGTTTAATTCTAAACCACAAAGCAGCAGTGCTTAAAGCATCGATCCAGGCCCCCTGCAGCTAATTTTCAGCACTTGCCCTGTACTTGAGGGGCTTGTGTGCACTGCAGAGCAAGACCGCTGTGGTCCAGGAGCTTACATGCTGCCTACCAGGCCATCCAGATGAACAGGGAATTAAAGTAGGAAGTGTAATGAGTGTGTGGCCAGTGTAGTGAGGGCAGTTCACAAGGTGTGTGATACAGGCTTTTGAGAGGAGAGGAGGTGGGTACTATGTCTGAAGGTGGCATTGGAAAGGTTCCAAAGCCAAGAAAATTTGTGTTGGCAACATTGATTTAATCTGATGGCATTGATTTACTACAGTAGACTTTCTACAACCAAGTAAGACTGCTGTTTATACAGGTAAAAGCCAAGTTATCAGAGAAGAATTCTCCTGAAAGACTTTAAGAATGAGCCTGTCATTCACAGGTGTGGAATTCTGCTGAAGAGAATGCAGACTGAAACCACAAGCTTCTAGGAGTTCCCTCCTGGCCAAAAATAAAATTTCCTGCTGTGCACTCTGCTCCATTTCTGGCTGACTTGTAGAATCACTAGTGATTGGGGTTTTCTGGCCAGGGAAGCAGAATCACACCATCTTCCCAGTAGGAGGTTTTCTTGAGTTCTGTCCTTTGTGTGTGTGGATAGAAAAAGAAAATTACTGTTTCATCTAGAAAAACATTTTTACTGCTCAGTTGCTGATGTGTCTGTTTCAAATCTTCCCTCAAAGATTTTCTGTACTCTGCTTTTCAGAAAGAAACTCAGTTTTTTTTAGTTGAGTTCCATATTTTGGGGTCCAAATTAAAATGATTTGCCCAAAGATATAGAAGGAATCAAAAAACTTTGGGCTTCTGGCTGATTCTCAGTCTAACCCTTTCTCATCATTTTGTGCTTGAAAAATTTACCCATTCTCATCCTTCCTTGATTATTATTTTTCATTGAAAAAAAATAACACTGTTACACACTGTTCAATTGTTTGCTCAGCTTGTTTAGAGAATGCAGGGTTTCCATAGCCCTCAAGACTGTAGGATGGTTTTACTACTAGGGCAGCATCTCTAGAAATAACCCTTTTAATGAAAAAATTCTCAACACCAGGGTTTCTTTTTACTTCCCTGTGTTATAGTCACTTAGATATTTACAGAACAAAGCTACATACAAACTAGTTAAATAAACTTTTTTGCTGTTATTCAGCTATTAGGCCAAATGATTTTATAATTTTAAAAGAAGGCCCCCTAGAACCAATAAAATTTAAATTGACGATATGATTTAACTTGATTTTGTGGTTTTGCTAAAACTAAGTCACTTGATACTGGGTTTTATGGTGAAAAGATGTAACCTTAATTTTCATATTTAGTCTGGCCCAATACATTTACTTGAGTTTTTTTGTTTGGTTTTGTTTGATTGGTTTTTTTGTTGTTTTTGTTTCTTTCTTTGATACCTGGGATTGAACTCGGGGCCTTGCACTTGCGAGGCAGGTGGCAGCACTACTGAGCTAGATCCCCATCCCTATTTTTTTTAACTTTAGTTTTAATTTAATTTCCTAAATTTTGTGCATAGTAAAGAATTGGATTCATACATGTTGAGGGTAATCAGACTCCATATATTCTCAGACTCTGACAGCCAGCAGTTCTGGATTGCCTACTTTATAACAGTAAAATTAAGGTACATTTAGCATTTAATATGTATTTAATGACTAATCTCTTACAACTGGAACCAAAACATTTCTTCATTACTGTTACTACTTACCTACTGATAAATGCACTCTGGCAAGGCCTTCTGCTTTAACAGTGAGCAGAACTGAAAGAAAGCTCTGACATGAACACTTTGGAGTTTCGGAGGATTTCTTTGTCCTGTTGCGTTTCTGTTCACATGACTTGGAAACCTTCCTTTCAGCACATGCTGTTACTCTTTGCCAACTGCAAGCATGATTATAAACACAAATGCAGGCCCAGAAATTGCACAACAAAACTTGTGCAGTGAGCCTGTGACTTTTTTTTTTTTTTAATGAAAGCAACACAAACTTTTTCAAAGATAAGAGACTATTGATCTCCATGATCCTCAAAACATTGACGAGTAGAGGATTCTGAGCATTTCTACTTTCACATTTAAAAAACACACAGACCTTAGGACAAATTTGGTAACATGACAGTTTGAAATCTTCTGTGCATATGCTAATTCACTTAAAAAGCCTGGGAGGACTGGAGGCCAAAAGAGCTCTTCTAGTGGGAGGACTATAGGTGTTCAAGGTCAGTTATGTAGCTTGGATATAGATCTGAGGCCAGAAGCTGTGTGTTATGGGGAGTCTTTTCAGCAGTTGTAAAGGAAGTCTTTCTAGTAGCATCCTTACAAACCAGGGTGACCCCTTGTTTGGGATGCTGTTAGAGGCTTATTTGGTATGGGAGATACAGCTAAATCTCAGAATACCTAAGATCTGATGTATCTAATGAAGCATTAAAACTATGTTCTCTGCTGGGTGTGGTGGTGTGTGTTTGTAATCCTAGTACTTAGGAGCCTGAAGCAGGAGGGCTGTGAGTTTGAGGCCAGCTTGAACTATATAGTGAGACCCTCTCTTAGCCCCACCCCATGCTCTATGAACATCAAGAAAAATAAGACCAATTGGGAAGCAAGTTAAACCGTGTTTTTGCCTCCTTATTTATAGCTTGTATTTTCTTAAGTATTAAATTTTTTATATTAAATTGTATTTTGACTTAATTGAACTAATTGGGGTTTTTCTCCCCTATAGTGAGAGGATCCAAGCCAGGTAAGAATGTCCAGCTACAGGAGAACGAAATCAGAGGACTATGCTTAAAGTCTCGTGAGATTTTTCTCAGTCAGCCTATCCTACTAGAACTTGAAGCACCACTCAAAATATGTGGTAAGTTGTGGCACATTGAACATCTTTGGTTATGTGATTGAGTCAAGAGTCTGTTGACTTAGTATTCGACTCATTCCTATTTACCAACTTGGAACTACTTAAAATAACATTAAAATAAATGCTCTAGTGGATTTAGCTTAAATATGTTTCATATTTTTAAAAGTGTTTCACTGAAGGAATGTAAAAATAAAAAACAAAATGAAACTTAATGGAGAGCTAAGAAAAGGTCTACATTACATCAGTATAGGGTTATATTTGAGCTTAAAGCAACTATGATTATATCTAAAAATACAGCTTAGTTTTGGAGCTCGTTTAGTCTCACTATTATACATAATAGAAGCAGATAATCTATAGGTACTGTCAACAACTAAACTTTTTTCATTTGAGTAATGATATATCTAGCATATTTGACTCATGGATAAACCTCGTATGTGTTTTTGTTTTTGTTTTTTGTACCAGGGATAGAACTCGGTACCTTGCACTTATAAGGCCGGTGAGGTGCCACTGAGCTGGCCCTGTGTGCATGTTTTTTGAAGTGAAATGCTCTTTGGCATTATCTGTTAGGGAAAAGTTGAAGTAATGTGGGTATGGAGTATGCTTCTGTTCTGTGAGGGCCAGAGCTCACTAGATGCCCAGAGGTTCTGTTGACAGTATCTAGAGACTGAGCTTTTAGAGATCTGATACTGATCAGCCAACCTGAAAGGAAAACCATGTTACTTGTCAAGAAAGCATGCCAAGACATAATATATATATTTCCACAAAATAAATTCTTAATTGAATTTTGTGTGAGGTTCTGGGCATACATGTGCACTTAAAATTTTCATTATGAGGGCTGGAGATTTAGCTCAGTGGTGCCTAGTGCCTGCCTTGCAAGCACAAGGTCCCAAGTTCAATTTCCAGTACCAAAAAAAAAATTCATTATGGGCCATTGAATGAAATATGTTACAAGATTGGCGATCACTTAGTGTTTGCTGTCACATCAAGCTCTCATTGTTAGAGATGATTCATTGTGCAATGAAAAGTTCAAGAATGTCTTTCCAGCCAGGAGTGGTGGTGCATACCTGTAATCCCAGTACTTATGAGGCTGAGGCAGGAGAATTGCTGCAAGTTCAAGGCCTGCTTGGGCTACATAGTGAGTTCAGAGCCAGCCTGAACTACAAATAAAGCGCGAGAATGTCTTAAATTTTTTTTCCGCCAAGTCTTTCCAAAGCTTGTCAGTAAATTTTTAGATATGATAACACTAAAACCACATTCTTGCTTCTAGGTGATATCCACGGACAGTACTACGATTTGCTTCGGCTTTTTGAATATGGTGGTTTCCCACCAGAAAGCAACTATCTTTTTCTTGGGGACTATGTGGACAGGGGGAAGCAGTCCTTGGAGACTATCTGCCTTTTACTGGCCTACAAAATCAAATATCCAGAGAATTTTTTTCTTCTCAGAGGGAACCACGAATGTGCCAGCATCAATAGAATTTATGGATTTTATGATGAATGTAAGTACTTTATATCTGAGGAAGAGATACTTAAGATTTGGTGGTTAGAATTTATGAGAGTTTAGACTCAGTATTATTGTGTTATTTTCTTAGTCTTTCCCCATTTTTAGGATATAAAAATAATGTTTTAATCTTCTGGCTTCACTTACATGCTGATCAGATTAGGACATCATGAACACATTAGTAGTTTCCTTAACATAATTCTTATACTCACAAATAGCTTAATTCTTGGTACAATTGAGAACCTGCATAGTTTTTGTTTTTAACAACTTAAGATTAATTTCATTCTATGAGATTTATCTCTTTATTGTATATAATTCAGGTGTTGGTAGTAAATTTTATAGAATTTTGCGACTGTCACCACCGATCTCTGCAGGCACTACTTTCTGTCTCCAGCCTTGTCTTTTCTAGAGAGTGCTTATTGTTAAGTAAGTTCAGTCTCTAGTGTGTCCATAGTTTTTGAAATGTATTATTTTTCTTTGTTCTGACACATCTATAGCTAAATGTGCTGAGTAGAGAAAGTACTGATTTTTATTTTTTATGATAATCTTATGCATTTTGTGACCCATTTTGGATTGTTTAACCACTTTGGTAGAAGTGTGTGTCGTCCCCCCCAACACTGGGCACTGAACCCAGTGCCTTTGCACTGAGCTACATTCCAAGACTGACTTCACTTTTTTTTTGCTTGCCTGCCTCCTTCTCCCCCTCTCCCCTTTTGTACTGGTGATTGAACTCAGGACTTTGCGCTTGCAAGGCAGGTGCAGTGCCACTGAGCTAAATCTCCAACTCCCAAGACCTTTTTAAATTATGAGATGAGGTCTTGCTAAGTCTCTCTAAGTTGCCCATGTTGGGCTGGAACTTGCTATCCTCCTATCTCAGCTGGGTGCCACTATACTAAGGCTGTTACTGTTTTAAGCAAACAATAATGTCAAAAAGGTTTCAAATCCTTGCCTCTGACATCCTTTTGTGTATATTTCTCTTAAGAGAGAGTTCAGGTTGGGAGTAGAGGGGTGATTAAAGAATTTTGGTCACTTAAGATCTGATATCATCATGAGAAGATCAGTGAAGGTTTGTCAGTATGACCCCTCCATGTCAGTCATAACCTATAGTTTCTCAGCATGTTAACACATATACCCCAATATCTGAATCTTAGAGATGTGTTTCACTCACTCACTTATTTATTTATTTATTTATTTATTTATTTATTTATTTATTTATTTATTTATTTGAGGCACAGTTTCCCTCTGTAGTTCATGCTGGCCTTAAACTCACTATGTAGCCCAAGCTGGCATCAAACTTCTGTGGTAATCCTGTGCAGCCTCGGGAGTGCTGGGATCACAGGAGTGCACAATTATACTCAGCTGGCTCATTTATTAAATATGCATCCCTAGAGAGATAATAGTCATAGACACAGCCAACTTCAAACCACCTTTCAGGTCTGGGTATATTTAGCATAATGGCAACGTGCCTGCCCTGCAAGCATTAGGTCCTGAGTTCAATCCCTGGTCCATGACCTAGTGATCCAGCTGATAAGATGAGGTAGGAGGAATCACCAGGGAGAAAAGTCTTATGAGTTCTAGAGTGACTGGGACAATTTGAGTCTGGTTAAAAGGAAATTTGATTATTAACATTGAGTCTGCGTGGGGAAAGTACTAGGAAAACAGTTACTCTAAGGAGGTAGTGAAATTGGAAGGCAGGGATTTTAATTACTGAGTTTGGGATATTGTTTATAAGTTTTTGTACTAAGGAAGCATTCCTTCAACATTGCTGTTATCTCGGCAAATAAAACAGTGTTTTCATTGATGAAATTCAAATCCACTTGGTCTCTTTGTTGTGACATAAATCCTAATATGGTATTGGATGCATTAATTTGGGATTGTACTTAATCCAGTGGTCTTTAGAAATGATTTAAAATTTCAGTGTTGGTTAATAGCGGTTCTTTTTTCCTCGTGTGTGTGTTTTTTTTTTCTTTTTTTCTTTTTTCTTTTTTTTTCCCCCCTTTTTGAGAACAGGGTCTTGCTATATAGTTCAGGCTGGCCTTGAACTTAATATGTAGGCCAGGCTGTTCTCAAAAGTTACAGATGCTCAGAAGTAAGAGTTAAGGGAAAACCTGATTTTTGATATATGAACCAACAAAGGATAGCATGAATTAAGCAAAAGAAGCTTTCTCTTAAAAAGAAAGAAGTCAGTGGAGATGTAGCATATAGGGAAGGAAAAGTTTCCAGGAAACCCAGCACATAATTGCTCAGAGACAGGTTTCAATAGAAAATGGAGACAGAACCAAGTAACTATAAATGAGCATTGAGGCAGTCTGTCCTGTTTTTATGTAGTGATCATCACTATTAGAAAGTGTAGGTGTTGATTGCGTATGTGTGTTCTCCTTCAGCATTTTTTTTTCCCTTGATAACAAATTTGTTTCCGGAACCCTCCAGGGCAGGAAAATAGAGGACAGAGAATTAATGGCTTCCAGGGCTGAGGGTTTAGCTCAGTGGTGCTGCCTCCTGCTTTGCAAGCACAAGGTCCCAAGTTTGATCCCCAGTACCAAAAAAATAGAATTAATGGCTTCCAAAAGGGTGAACCGACATACATAGATAGATACATAAACACTTCTCATGATGAATGTGATCATTATGTACTGCACAGGTATACTAGTAAAAACAAAAAACAAGGTCCCTGTCGTCAGGACAGCAGAAACTGTCAGAGACAGAAGTCTTCATTTGCAGAGGGCAAAGTCAAATGTTTGTTGGGTTTGCATTACCTTTCAAGCTCTGTACTAAACTCCCCACCCTGCTTGATTTGTATTGGGTTGAAAGGTGTGCTTCAAAAAAATCTGTTGCTTGGCTCAGCTCTGACTTTTTTTTTTTTTTTTTTTTTTTTTTTTTTTTTTTTTTGGTACTAGGGATTGAACTCAGGACCTTGCACTTGCAAGTTAGCTAGTGGAACCACTGAGCTAAATCCCCAGCCCAGCCATCTCTGCCTTTTAAAGAAGTGGTACGTGCTCACCCTTGAGCTGTTCTCTATTCCCCAGCATAAGGAAGGAGAGAGATTAAGGACAGTCTTAGTTTAGGAATAAAGGCTCTCTTTTAGGGCATAGGAAGCATAAGCATTCTTAATTTAAGCAGTCCCTAATTAAAAGATTTAGACTTCTAAGGTTTGTGAACGCAAAACAATTTTTCATGTAAAAAGTGTTGGAAGTTATACTTCTGTCAGAGCTGCACTCTGACTCAAAATGTGTGGAATACAGGTGCTGGTAAGGAACCATAACCACCCCGTGGTCTCCATTCTCTGGGAAGTTTTCTAAGTTTTTATAGTGTTAGGGAGAGATACCCTGAAGTACTTTCAGTATGTGGTCTCTGTTTCCTATAATCATCCCCTGTAGTCTTTTTACTCCTGCTGGCTTGGGATGGGAGTTCTCCTATCAGTTGTTTTTTGTCAGGGAAGATGGGATGGGTGTTAACTCAAAGATTTCCTTAGAAGAAAGGCAGTAATGCACACTTAAAAGCTGTGCATATTTGACTTTAGAAATAGGGAGTTCTACCTGTAGATGGAGATTGAACAAAATACTAGATTTAAAATAGAATTGGTGCCAGGCATGGTGGTGCATGCCTGTAATCCCAGCACTTATGGAGGCTGAGGCAGGAGGATCACTGTGAGTTTGAGACCAGCCTGGGCTACATAGTGAGTTCCAGATCAGTCTCAACTACATAGACCCTGTCTCAAAAAAAAAAAAAAACAAACAATTGGTGCTACCAAATAATAAGGATCTGATGGTAAATCTTAATCATGATCTTAACTGAAATTTTTATTTCACACTTCACGAAGTGTATTTCATATGAAAGTGTAAATTGTTGCTTTGTAGATCAGCGCTTGCACTCTCTCCCTCCCTCCCTCCCTTTCGCTGCCTCCCCCTCCCCCTCCTGTATATCTAATCCTAAATCCCACCAAGGGTTTCTTTTCTTTCTTTCTTTTCTTTTCTTTTTCTTTTTTTGGTTTTTTGAGACAGGGTCTCACTATGTAGTTGATGAGACTGACCTGGAATTCACTGTGTAGCCCAGGCTGGTCTCAAACTCATAGTGATCCTCTTGCCTCAGCCATCAGCCTCCAGAGTACTAGGATTACAGGCGTGCGCCACCACACCCGGCCAGGAGGTTTTGTTTTTTGAGTCAGGATCTTTGCCTGTAGTCCAGTCTGGCCTTGAACTCACAGCACATCCTCCTGGCTCAGCCTCCCAAGTGTTGTGATTATAGGCATGCACTACTATGCCTGGCTCACCCATGGATTTTTAATAAAGGTATAATTTTAAGATAATCACAACCTTGTTTTGAAGGGAACTACCTTGAGAGAAAGAGCACTAAACTCTTTAATTATTGTAAACTTTCACAGGTAAAAGAAGATACAACATTAAACTATGGAAAACTTTTACAGACTGTTTTAACTGTTTACCAATAGCAGCCATCGTGGATGAGAAAATATTCTGCTGTCATGGAGGTATGTGGGCCAGTTTTCTCTAAAATAGGTTTTAATACCTTCTAAAGATGAACACCAACATTTATGAGTTACCTTTGGGACGACTTCCTCTGTCAGGTAATTCTGCTTTGTTGATACGTTACCTCATGTGTACACTGTGACCCAGCCAGAATCATTTGGATGGATGTCTAAAGTAAGCAGTTGATTCCTTACAGGGAATTCTAGAGTCTCTAAAACAGTTTGATTTGAAAATACAGCAGAAAATATTTTTAAGTATAAAAAGTACAGCCATTGGGCTGGGGATTTAGTTCAGTGGTTCCACCGCCTGCCTTGCAAGCACAAGGACCCAAGATCGATCCCTGTACCCGCCCCACCAAATTACAGCATTAATTTGCTGAGCCAGAAGTCCTAGAATACTGAAAACATGGATAGATTTTTTTCCTTGATCTGTTTTTTTTTTTTTTTTTTTTTTTTTTTTTAATCCCTGAACTTTCTGCCTTCTCTGGCTTGGAATTTAAAAGCTGAGCTTGGTGTGATGTAATTAAAAAAGGACTTTTTGTTGTTGTTGTTCTTTGTTAAGAAATGAAGCAGCTAGCTTGGCTCAAGCTTGCTCTGCAGAGCCAGTTTCTCCCTAGCTCTTCACCTGTATTTTTTCAAGTAAACTTGGCTACAGTTAAAAAAAAAAAGAAAGAAAGAAACAGCCCTGGGCTTACACCGGTTTTGGTAGAGTTAGGCATGAAATACTTTTATTCAGGTGAGAATAGGCTACAATCTTATTTGGTTGATAGAGTAGAAGTTTCCTAGAGCTACAGAGTATCTTCTGTTTCTGGTTCATGGCGAGTGATAATATCTACTGTCTTCGTTGTATCTTATTATTATCAATTGGGGAGGCAAGCAGAGTAGTTTTGAAAGTCTGAATTTTAATTTTACAGTATTCTATATGATAATTGTCTACATGTACTGTGTAAACATACTGTGTCCTGCAAATTAGCGCATACGATAAATTGCAGTACCTATTTGATTGTTTTCAACCCAAACTGAAAAAGTATAGATTTAATTTAGGCTTTATCAGAGTTACTGAGTCTGTAGACAAATGAAACTTAAATGTGATAACATCTTTTGTGCATAGTTCTGCTTTGTTTTCTCTGATTTAATAGGTTTATCACCAGATCTTCAATCTATGGAGCAGATTCGGCGAATTATGCGACCAACTGATGTACCAGATCAAGGTCTTCTTTGTGATCTTTTGTGGTCTGACCCCGATAAAGATGTCTTAGGCTGGGGTGAAAATGACAGAGGAGTGTCCTTCACATTTGGTGCAGAAGTGGTTGCAAAATTTCTCCATAAGCATGATTTGGATCTTATATGTAGAGCCCATCAGGTATTGATTTTGAATTTTACATGTACACTTAAGAGCATGTGTGTGAGCACAGATTCTCCTTGTTGATTTTGGTGGGTAGGTATTGCTTATTTATACAGTGTCTCTGGAAACAACCTGTCAGGCTCAGCGGGGAAACTGAAGAGTGGTTTGAATCACCTAACATTTGCATCCACTTATGCTGAAAATAATGTTCTTTCCAAGGTGGTTGAAGATGGATATGAATTTTTTGCAAAGAGGCAGTTGGTCACTCTGTTTTCAGCACCCAATTATTGTGGAGAGTTTGACAATGCAGGTGCCATGATGAGTGTGGATGAAACATTAATGTGCTCCTTTCAGGTAGAGCATGTTTTCAACATTATTTCCGTGTATTAGCTTGAATTTTGCTAATTTAAAAAATAGTTGCCACGATATCTCTCTGTTACTGTTCATTTAAGTTGAATAGGCTAAATTTTTTATTTTCCCATACCAGTGTTTGTCCTAGTTGGGTAATATGTGGATCCCTTTTAAAGGAAAGGATCAGCTCTTGCACTTATCTTTTCTAATGTCAGACTGTCAGTCTAATATTTGTCTAAAATTAAGTCACTGCTGGTATGTGAAAACAGTACTAACTGCAGTGTGCCAGACGTGCTATGTGATTACTTAATTTTGTCTTCTTTCCTGTAGTCTAATTCTTACAAAATTTTTGTTGAAGTACATGATACCATCTGACCTTCCACCTCAGCACAAAAGCATTATTTATGCACAAGAGTCTGCCCTCATCTTTGTTTCATTTGTTGTTATGATAAACTTGACCACCCTCAGGCCATCAAACATAAATATAGCCACTGAAATCTTGTGGCAGTCTTAAGTCAAATGAATGAAAATTATTTTACCATATTTTAGGGAGAACTTATAGATTGTACAGAGATGTGGAAAAAAATGTTCTAAAAAATTTACATCAGAAGTGCTAGAAGGAGGTACTGTGGACTGAGAATTGTTGTTTTACCCAGAGGGAAATACTTTGTCCAGGTCGTGTATTTTATCTGTTGATCATGACTTTCATTACCAAAATGTTTTCACATCAGTTTGATTTGTATTATCAGCATTGTTGGGGCAATTTTAAACAGCCAGAAACTTTTCTGAACAAGAGATGTGAATAAGATTTTAAAAACTTAAGTTTGGGTTGAGTGTATTTCCTAAAACTCACCTGTCTCTCTTAATTCTCTCAGATTTTAAAGCCTGCAGAGAAAAAGAAGCCGAATGCCACAAGACCTGTAACACCTCCAAGGGGTATGATCACAAAGCAAGCAAAGAAATAGATGTCATTTTGACACTGCCTAGTTGGGACTTGTAACATAGAGTATATAACCTTCATTTTTAAAACTGTAATGTGTACTGGTCAGCTTGCTCAGATAGATCTGTGTTTGTGGGGGCCCTGTCATTTTTGTTTTAATGAATGGCATTTGCTGGTTGTAACAGCAAATGAAAGACTTCACTTCCAAGGAAAAGTGTTTTGGTTTTGTTTAATTCCCTGTTCCTTTTGCAAACAATTTTAATGATGGTATTAAAACTGTACACCTTAGGACAGTTTATCCTGTTGGGAGAGGGGTAAGTGTATAAGCGCTCTTTTTTTAATTCAGTATAACCCATGAATAATGTAAATGCTCGTTTTCTTTAGAATATAAAGAGAGCCCCAGGGTGCTCTGAATCTGTACATGTTATTGTCATAAAATGCATATTATTGTTAATACAAACCACTGTGAACATTTTTTTTATTTTAAAATTTTGTTTCAAAGGGATTTTTCTTGTCACGTACAAACTAGTTTTTATAGCCGTCAACAATAGAAGTAATCTTCAACCTTGCCAGGATCACTGGTACAAGTGATAAATATTTAATTAAAGCACACTTTTCCCCACTTACTTAAAATGATGATTAAAGCCATTCTTTTAAATGTTTGTGACTCTTCCTAAAGCCAAAGTTTCTGTTGGAATTGTATTGACACCCCACCCCACCCCCAGTGGAGGGTAGCATGGCTGCATACACATGCTACCTCCTTGGAGGTGCAAAAACAGGTTTTTTATTTTGAATAGTAATTAGTAATATAGTGCTATTTAAGCTATTATGATTAAAGTTAATTACATTTTGTACAATTTCCATATAATCTATTCATTAAGTAATCTTTTCACAGTTGGACCAGGCCTGAACCCGTCCATTCAGAAAGCTTCAAATTATAGAAACAATACTGTTCTGTATGAGTGACTGATTTTGCTTTCTTTATTCTGCGGTGAAGTTGAGGCTTGTAAGTCAAAACAAAGGAACTAACGTGCTGTCCATCAGTTTATACAGAACTCACAGTATCTATGACTTTTTTAAGCTAAGATCTGTTAAAAAAAAGAAATCTGTTTCAACAGATGACCGTGTACAATACCATGTGGTAAAAATGAATTCAGACTTATTAAATGACAAACTTGTTAAATCTTCTCTTGTCTATTTATCAGCACAATACACACAGGAAAACTGTTGATGGCATATTGAATAGATTTTAATGAATAAATTGCTCTGGAAACCACAATTGCATTTTGGATTTGTCTTCTTTCAAATAGTCTTTCTGAAGACGTATTATGTTACAGATACTCATGTTCTTTGACTTCCTACCTGCATATAGATAGCATATATATATATATATATATATATATGTCATGCCTCAGCCTCCTAAGTGGTGGGATTATAGGTGTGTACTGCCATACCCAGCACAGTTCAATACTGAAAGAGTGGTGAACTGTTTGGGGAGATGGAACTTAGTCTCTGCATAGTTTTCCTTTTAGGGTTCACCTAGATTTAAAAGCCACTTTCTTATGCAGACTCAGCCATGTACTTTTTCATGTACAGTTCTTTAATCTCTTTCTCCCTTCCCTGATTTTTGTTTTTGTATTGCTGAGGAGTGCACTGGGGGCCTTCACGCTGAGATACATCACTAATTTGTATTTATTTTAAATTTCAAAACAGCTAAGTTGCTACAGTCCCTGGGCTGGCTTTGAACTTAGACAGAGGACAAGGTGTACAACACACACCCCTCCCCAGCTGTCCTTTCCTAATTCTTAAGAAATATAGTGTTGTCATAGTTCATTGTCTCAGCTGTGTCACATGTATATCCCTTCCTCAAAATGCCATAAAAGTCATTTGGAAAGTACTTTATTCCTTTGCAGACTGGCTTCCCTTCAGTTGAAGACCTCCTGACAATGAGCAGAGCTGGGTTGCACTCCTCTGCACTAGCCACCCAGCCTGAGGCTCCTGGCCTGCTCTGTTGATGAGACAGATGAGACCTCCTACCCTTCCTGCTCTGCAGTGGGTGAATATATAATACTGCTCTGAACATGATGGATTGTCACTTCCGGAATTTCAGAAGGCATAAGACCAAATTGGGCTGCCTTGCTTGAGGTTTACCAGCCTCTTTGAGCATGCTAGCTAGCTTAAAATAATTCCAAAGAACCTAACCATGTAGTATTGGTTGAGAGCAAAGTCAGTCTGGATTTAGGATACAAGATCCTTAGAGACTGAAATCATAGTGCTTTCCCATAGTAGTGGTACGGGCAATTGAACCCAGGGCTGTTCTCCCACTAAGCTACATCCTTACCCCTCTTTAATTTTTGAGATAACTTTGCTAAGTTGCCTAGACTGGCCTCAAACTTGGGATCCTCCTTCCTTGGGTATGCACCCCCACACCCAGATTCTATGTGCCTTTATAACCTACGGGTTCCAGTTAAAGCCCTGGCTTCTTTCCAGGCACGTGGTTTTTTGAATGAGTGACTTGACTACTGAGCCCCACTGTCCTGAATCTATATGCTTAGAGCAAATTTTGACTCATGTTCACTGTTTATTGCCTTAACAATAAATTTCTGTTTTTGTATATTTGCCATTACAGCCGAGTTCTAAGTTGCACCTACTTTTTTTGGTTTTTTGAGACAGGGTCTCACTATGTAGTTGAGACTGACCTGGAACTCACTATGTAGCCCAGGCTAGTCTTCAACTCACAGCGATCCTCCTGCCTCAGCCTCCTGAGTGCTGGGATTACAGGCGTGTGCCACCACACCTGGCTTGCACCTACTTTGTATTGTAGCCCTCATGTCCTGGTACTGAGTACAGAACACTACTATAGGTTTTCAGCAGATTTCTAAAAGTAGGAAACATGAAATTGTTGAAGTTTTTGTGGGGGTGGTGCCAGGGATCAAACTCAGGACCTTGGGTTTGGCAAGGCAAGTGGCGGGGCCACTGAGCTAAATCCCTGGCCTTGTTGAAATTATTTCAATGGTGTGATATTTTAAGTTCTACTTTTAGGTCATTTTCTTTTTTTAAAGGCATTTGTGGTTTTAGGATTATAGCATTATTATAAAATATGTTAACTGATCTTACATAGCTTAGTAGTCTGATGTGTAGTTGAAACCCATCCATGCAGTTCTCTGGCTTGGTAGGATCCACTCATAAAACTTGGCCATATCTAGCTGCAGTGGACAATGCAGAGGCTAACACTCCTTTTCTTCAAGACCTTAAGCCTAGGTATGGAACATAGACTAGGAACAAATTGCAAGGCTGGGAAGAAGGTGCAGGATTTGAGTGAAAGGGAGTAAAATCATCTGCCTCCTATTGTAAGCTGGATGGGAGTTTGAAAGGGAAAGCTTGCTGGGGAGTAAAGGTTTTAGATGAGCTGGAGGTGAGTGTCATGATGTCCAAGAAGGGCAGAAGTACCGATAGAGGAACAAGTGGCTTGGGAAATTATTAATGGACTTGTTTGGGCAATTTGTAGACAATGCGTGCGACTTGAAACAGATCAAGACAAGTGTCTCAATCAAAATATTACATTGCCGGACGTGGTGGTACACGCCTATAATCCCAGCACTCGGGAGGCTGAGGCAAGGAGGGACCCTGTGAGTTTGAGACCAGCCTGGGCTACATAGTTCCGGGTCAGTCTCAACTACATAGTGAGACCCTGTCTTTAAAAAAAAAAAAATTTACATAAATTTAGGAGCAGAAAGGATAAATTGGAAATTAGTACAAGGACAGAATATTTTATGTTTAGGTATAAGGAAAAACATTAGAGCAAGCTTCTTCCAAAAAAGTAAGTTAAAATGTATTTAAAGTGCTATCTGCCTATTTTCTCATCTAGAGAAATAACCCAAGTTCATTCAGCCTTAGGAACCAATTATTTTGACTGCAGGGATGGTTTTGATGGGGAGAAATGAAAAACCAGTTCTCCAAATGAGGTGTGTAGTCTATGTCTACACCAATGTGACATTTCCTTGCTCCAGTTTTGATCTTATAATACAGGAGGACAGTGGCAGTGGGCTGTTTGTATCATTGAAAGCTCTTAAGGTTTACCATCACTAATACAGGGACTGAAATACCTGAGGGATTGTGAGGAGTAACCCATAAGACTACCAACAGCCTGGCTATCTGTGTAATAAGCGTTCAGCAAACACTACCTAGTATGAGACAGCCAAGAGTGTTTCTAAGATGTAAACAAAGGAACATAAAAGTTACATTAGGAAAACCTTACCCTGTGTGAGCCCCAGAAAAGTGGGAAAGAAGACAATCGGCCTTCATCCTCAGCCCAAAACAAACAATGCTTAAGCTTCCTGGCTGCCTTAAATATGCCCGATTAATGACTGATCACAGAAATTGCTGCCATCCCATCTGATCAGCATGACGGCTTCTATAGCACGTACAGACTTGACCTTTGGATGTATTGGAGATAACCTGAATTTAAAAGCAGGTAAGCATTATAGGTGTGAGGATTACTATGAGATTTTCAGTTAATGTGAAGTATACATGTTACTGTTAAATAGCTCAGTTAAGTAAATTTTGAAATCAGAAAGTGCAATAGGGAAAGTATCACCCAGATAAACTCAGCACTGTTGAACTAACAAGTTTCTAAGAATCCGAAGGTAAGACACAAAATACTGGAAGTGAATCTGCGGCAACAATCTTAGCACTTCTGAGAAATGTTCAAAAAGCATCTTGAGGCACTACTGAGAGCATTTTAAAGTCTCTTAACTAGAGAAGAAGACAGGCCATCTTGCCATTGGGATGGGACACTATCATCCCAGGGCCAGTCGGTGAACTCGCTCTCCGTCAATCTCAGCTAAAAGTTGACATCCTCAGTATTGCATATGTCCACGTACTGCAGAGCGATGAAGCCACTGGTGGTGTCAAACTGGCAAATTGTAACAATTCTGATGGTTCATCTGTAACAAATTTTGGGCTAATATTCTTTTTTTCATATTCTTTTATCTCAGAAAATCAGTTCTCTGATACTAAGTTGTGACCAAGTGCAGCACTTAGTTTATTTGTGTCAGGGATAGAACCCAGAGTCTTGGCACTGAGGTACATCCCCAGCCAAGTACTAATTCTAAGGTGTATATGGTGCCATCTAGAAACTTAATGAATATCCCTTTTTTCTTCTAGCCGTCCAATTAGCACAGAAGCAAATGCTGTGTATCCCAGCAAGGACCAGCCCACACACCAGTTGTTCAGGGCTGGTGAACAAGGGAACAGTGAACCAGCCATTATGTTCTTGGACAGACTGGCTGCTTGACCTTTCCAGCAAAGCCCTGGCAAATTAGGTAGGTGTGGCAGAGAGCAAGTGGGATAAAGGGCATTCTTCCTGAGGTTGGCAAGTTCATTTGCCATCTGCTGAGAATTTGTTCATCCTTGGCTCCATGAGCCTGAGGCAGATTGTGTACCTGCTACCAAAATGAAATTGCTACCCCTGACAAACCGTGTAGCTTTCTTCTCGGGTTTTGTCCTAACCTACAGCTCCACATTAAGAGAGCTGGAGTTGACAGCCCAAGACTCAAGTCATCCACATATCAGAAGGGATTTACTAATTGTGGTGTAGTGATGAGGTACCTGGGTCCAGTATGGACTAGGTGGGCTTAGATTGGCTTCCGGTTTGTACTCTTGCTGTGTGGCCCTTGGGTGTGTCTCCTCATGACACTGAGCTGAGGACAAGAATAGTAAACAATCCTAAAATTTGCTGAAGTACAAATTGCTAACTAGATACATGTTTTGTTCACCGCGAACAGCGTATCTGATAAATTATTCTACAAATAATCCTGTTTATCAGTATTGTTGAAATTATAACCTCAACCTCTGGTTTTGCAGATATAAACCTGAAGGGTTGAGAACAGTGAGACCTGCATTTTCTTTCCAACTCCAGAGAACTGGGATTCCTTCCCCTAAGAGAGTGATGATGAACCTTTTAGAGCCTTCAATGATAACAAATAGCCCACTGCAGCATGCTTGCCATAGGTTCG